TTTAATAAACTATGACGAGAGTGTTTTGTTTATGTTTTGATGATACTTTATGGCCATAATGGATATTGTAGACAAAATCGACATAAATCAATTGAAAGCTAGTTTTGTCTGGACTGCAACGGTCCGAAGCACTTGCTCCCTGTTGCGACCATTTTTTAGCAGTCGAGCGCAATGCTCGTAGCATCTAGCGACAAGTTGTTCCCCCTAGTGTCCATAAGGTGTCATGCTTTGGTAGCACTTCTTGGGATTCTATGAGAAACATCGTAATGCGCATGTCAATAAGTCTAAGCGCCACGGATCTAAAGAGTGGATAAAACACTTATGGCTTATAGATTTGCAGACTTTGAAACAACTACAAGGCCTACGGGACCGAACGAATGGTTCTGAGATGTTCTTCATTCCTTCATCCTCCTCCCTTAGTCGTTTGCTCGATCCATGGTGCTCGCTGGGAGTCGCCGGGAGAGTCACGTGGGTCACTGAGATGTTAGATATGCTGTAAAAGCTTGACTTTCAGATATAAATAATTCCTTTTGATCTGGCAATCGTGTTTTAGTCAAAGTATTTATATTTGTAGTTTAATTATTTATGCAATCATAACTCCTTTATTTTACATTGTAGATAATATGATTCGTTTTGTCGAACAGAAAGATCATATTATCGGTTCTTTGTAAAATATAAATTAATTGTTCATAGTTTAGATAGACAGTGAGACTATAACACCCCGCCTTATCTAACTTGACTCACGAAAAACCGAGTAAAATTTTCGCGGTTGTTTTCGAAATATACTGATATTGTTTTTTTTTTTTTAAGAAAAATATTTAAACTTAAACTTGCGGAATGTTACTTACTTACTGACTTGACTTTTTACTCTTTTCTTTTACTTATGCATGTAACCCAAATCGACATATAAAATCTACCTGGGGAAAATGGATAAAGGAAATTAAACATGCATGTATACAGGTTCTAGTCTGGGAGTACGAAAGAGTAAAATAGTGCAGTACAATGTGAAATAGTTTTAATACATGTCAACATAAACATAAACATAATGAATGTCCAGCTGTCTTCGGACCACCGCACCACGATAATGCTCACGCGCCACGCACGCCCTGTCACCTGAAATTTAAAAGACTGTGGGAGTGTGAGCGCATAACTGGTGTGCTCATGGGCATTGACACTGAACTGATATCTTCTGTACACATAACTTATAACTGTATAAGCACAAAACAACTACACAGTAATCGAAATAATATCAACTAAAAACATAACAAGAAAACAACATAAACATAAATAAACTGCTAAACAAGTACATACAAACATACAAGCAGTAAAACATAAATACATTGTACTGTACTATTCTACATCGAGAAATCTTGTCGGAACTCATGTAATCACATTCTGGGAGATGCCTCCCACAGAAACCCAGGATGGGAAAACCTTCCATACCAAAACCGGGTGAGTGACCCAGGGTGGAAAACCCTTCCACTCGATCCGGGTCCTAATGAGACATCTAGAAACTGGTCGGAACTCATGTGATACATTCTGAAGGGCCGCCTCCCTCAGAAACCCAGGGTGAAAAACTTGCCGCTCAATCTAGGCGAGTAACTGAACCGAAAACGGGATAACTCTACCGTTCAGGTAAATAACTTACTCACATACCTCATACAAGATAACAGAATATGCGCAATGTAACACCCTGTACGGGCTCCCACCTGATAAACTGAATAGCATGTGAGAGTGCTGGAAAGATGGATGTAGCTGATGGAGGCTCGACTCTCCATAAGCTACCAAAATATACCAGCAAATAATCTAAGTAATTTACTCGACTGAACTTATGATCTTAAATCCTAACACTTAATATAATTTCAGATAAGAAGGCGAGGCAGATCAAACAAATAACAAACATGTAAATATAATTATACCAAGTAGAACAGATAAAACAATTAATCACTTAAATTGAACTGGTTATCTCGGCTATTTTGGACTGATCTCGAGCTTCCGGATAAAATCTGATTGAAAATCTGAAACTAAAATTATTCAGTCTACTTAATCTGACTCGAACCGGCCAAGCTCCGGTGACTTATTCCATTCAAATATCTTATACCAGACCTTATATACTTATAAACTTCAACTATGTACAAACTTATCATATAAATGACTTAATTCAAATTAAACCCAGTCTTCAAACTTCGTGATATTTTTAAAAATCATACAAAATTCTAAAATTCTGAAACATTACAATTAAATAGTATATAAACTCAAGTACTTGCTTTTCAAATTTCATTTCAATAGCACTTCAATAGCTCATTCAACACAAGTGCTAACTTAAATTATAATTATGCTAATTACATGCATAACTTCAAACAATTTTATAAAATCACATACGTATCATATCAACCTGAAACTTGGTCATCTTGTTCATCACTCATGCAAGAAGATTCACATTAAAAATTTGAATGTGGAGTGAGTTCTATCGCATATAAAATCAACCTGACTTGCATGCAGTCTAGCATTTTTAACTACTTCATTTCTCAACATAAAATTCTGAAATTTGGCATGCACAATCTCAACATATAGGCATAAATGTCATTAAAATTTCACATTTTTATCATGCACATAAACCGACTTATTCGAGTTCAAAGTACGCAGCTGAAAGTAAGCATAAACACTCGATTTGCATGATAAACTTTAAAAACATAGAACTCGAGCTATACTTAACCAAATGACATGATTCTTGTTCCTATGTACTCATTTACACAAGAAATACCCATATAAAGCATACTTTTCCAGGTTTTTCATATCATGGTCAAAATCGTATTAAAACAGAACGTGTGACATGCGGGTGAGCTGGGAACTAGTTATCTTCTTGAATGCATGAAGGCAATTAAAAACTGAACTTTT